GATTCAGATCATTCTAAGCGATTTCACGCTTCGCTTAGGGACAAAGTTTTGACGCATCGAACAACTCAAAACGTTCACAACTTCTGTCTTTGCGGTTGGCTTCAATGTGTCACGCCTTGTGTGTGCCATTGCGATTGACGGACAACCGCAGCACTGTCGCCGCAATCACTAAATGCAAAACCGATGGGTGCTCCGTCCCATCTCTCGTTCCAACCTACGGAATTCGGGGGGGGAACCCCTACGTTCCTGGCGGCTAATCCGTTTTACCGTGCAAATTGCAGCCGACACGATGCCGCACGCCTGTGGTGTGTAACACGTCGTGATTCTTCGCGGAAGAAACCTCTGATGTAAACGTGGCGCACAAATTTTCCCAAGTGACACATGATGACAGAAGAGATAAAAACAAACTCGGTAAATGTGTAGATAGATCCTATTTGAAAACCCACGTTAAATTGATCGATTCGGCAGTAATAAATCGCGTTAGGACAACGCGGTCGTTAAAATTACACGCCGTGACGGTTTTCTCGTTTTACCCGAGAACGAGAAGTCGTTTCCCGCGTCGTGTTGCTTGAAAAAAAAAAAGAGGAGAATGAACATAGAAGAAAAAAGAAACTTAGAGATAGCTATGATATATAAATTGTCATCTAACAGTTAACAAAATAACATTTGGAACGTAGGGTGTATCAAGGATAAAGATATATCCGTCTCTCTAATTAGGATTTATCTATATTTAGAAATTATTCAATTGATATTAATCGAAACAAAAATTACGTCAAACGTACGACAATCTCTTTTGCAAAGTCGCAATTTTAATAAGTGACAAAAATATTGTTATACAGACGAAAATCGATACGAACGAGGAGGAAAAATAATTAATACAACTACTAGCTCGAGAAAAAAAGCGATACCGCTCGTAGTGCTGCCATTAATGAAGCTCAAGGGACTCATACGTCGGGAACTGGGGCTGTTGACATCAGCGAGTTAAAAGTTTACGAATAGTGAATAGCGTTTGACAAATTGGGACGATTCTTGCGTCACGGAAATCGTTTCTATTTGTCGAAAGTTTACATCTAGCACATTTTTTTACAAATTGCGCCTTTCGTGCGTCAGCAAATTCTCGCGCGTTTCACGTACGAAACGTACATACCTACCTAACACCAGTGTCCGGTGTTAAAAGAACCAATATCACTACCAGCAGTTTCCATTCGTGCTCGAACAATTTGGGGGGGGGAAAATGGGATATTTAACGAGAGAGTTTCGAGAGAAAAAGAACCGAACGCATTAGCGACTCACCTGCGTCATCGTATCCTGCTGGACACGCGACGTTACCGTTCGCACATGTACAACATACAAGCGAACAAATGACATACCTGGGTCACTGGAGAACTAAAATTAAATCGTTATCTCAAAATGTGTTCATGCGATACGAACATGGCAAAGGACGATAACATTTCTTTAATAACAACGTGTTGTTGAACTACTAACGAAACGAGAGACGCTATCTTCCTCGCGCCGGAAGCGGAACGCATTTGCCGCGCCAATCTAGCGCTCTTGAAGCGCGATAAGCGCGCTGTTTAGCCCTGCGAAATAACTTGAACTGCAACTGGTTAAAGATATAAATGCCGGAACGCGTTGTCTGAAGCACAATTAGCAAAGTTGGAGCGCGCATTCGAAGTTAAACCCAAGAGGTAGGGTTGTTCTTGAGAGCCGTTTCGCTGTCCGAAATAATGGCTGCGAGAGAGATATGACATTTGTGGCCAATGTGCGAGAGAAACTGGGCGTGAATGAAAATTCATCGACGCGTCCGCGAAGTGCGAGAGAGAAACGCGAGACCGTTGTGCCTGAAATGAAATCAGGTCTTTTCACCGGTAGCGATTCGTGGCGGATATTCCCGACGTGAAGAGAGAAATGGCGCCGAACATGATGCGGCTTGATACAATGCCGTTTCATTACAACGTGAGATTCAGTTAGCATTTCTCTCGCTAACAAATTTTTTTCCCACTCTCTGCGATCTCTCTCGAATGCCGCGCGTTTAATTTCATTCGTGAAACAAACCGTTTCGTTTCGCACGCCGGCGTACCGCACTTGATTAATGTTACGGGAGATGAAATATTATTAGAGAAAAATCGCGTTTTCGTTGTTTTATCGCGCTCCCGCAGTCTATAACGATACTTTATCGTATATACTAAAACATGCGAAACCCGCTTAGACGCTTCGCTGACGCAATAACCAAGTGTAATAGTGTTAAAGCGCGTATTTTTTTTTTTGGTTTTTTGTTTTTATACCCCAAGTTGTATATATATCACGCGAACAGTTAATAGTTTTAATGCGCTTCGTTTGATTTATTCGAGTATTTCCGTCACAATCTGCTGGAATAGAAATCACGTTTCTTTTGCGCAACCATACCTGCATAGTGAATTTAAATCATAAATTTCGTAAAAGACGACGTCCGCTTGTAGCCGGCTGACGAATGAATACCGCGTGCGCAACGGTGCTCAATTTGAAGATTGGTGTCCATTAGAATTGGAAATGAAATTTCATAGACGCACAAATGGGAGGAGGGAGGCGGGAGAGGTGCCGCAACAGAGCTGCGGCACGTTACGTGGGCGAGACGCAAGAAATGGGCACGATGGACTTTATCGATTCTGCGGACACTGATTTATGCATGTTTACGATCTATACGAATAGATAAATATACATGCATTTATATTTAAAGTTTTTATATAATCTTTTTTTTTTTTTCGATTTTATTTCACATGTATTTGTATTTCGCGATATCGGAACGCTCGCGTTGCATCTCTCCTCCGCGCGTTTATAATCAAATCACTTTTGTTATCTAAGATTTATTTCCTCGAATATTTATTTTATGCGAGAAATATTGTTGAAATAAAAATGAAAAACTTGTTCGAATAAAAAAAATACAGATGTAACTTTTTGTTTACTGACTAAAAATTAAACAAGAAATCCGTCGTCACATCGCGCATTATCGTTATAAAAGATAATTGCAATCAACAAACGTGAGAATGCAAGTGCAGTGTCGTCAAGTTATCACTTAGAGAGTCTCGGAGAACCGTGGCGACAACAGTGCACGGTTGACTTGTTTGTCAGCCCTCGAGTTGCACAAAAAACGATGAAAGAGAAAGCGCATTAAAAATGAGCAAGACATGCTATATCATAACTCTCGAGCGCCGAAAAGAGAATCGGAGCAAAAAAAAAAAAAAAAACATAATGAAACATCTCGTTGACAACAACGGTCTAGATTCACCAGCGCGGACACTACTGTGTAATGAAATTTGCACAATCTCGATATAAAGCGGTATATTAATAATAAAAGTGATATTGTTATAATAACCAATATTTTCAAAAACAGAGATCGTTCACGTAAAACTATGAGTGATGTTATACAACGTTCAAGCGCGCGCGCGCGCAGAGTTATTTCGGAAACGTTACACGTCAAAGACTGTCTGCGGGCTATTTACAAAATGAATAACGTTGCATTTAAAACATCACTGTGCGTAATAAACTAGGCCACGTGGTTAATGTGCTCTCTCATCCATTAGTAATTAATCATCTTAATTAATTGTTCGTATAATTACTGGCAAACGCAAATACTTAATGTGTCCGCGGATCATCACGCCAGTATTTGGCAACAATCATCCTGCTACATTAAATTTTTCGCGACAAAATAAATGTAACGCGCATTGAACTTTTATTAAAAAATAATTTGAGTTTTATCATAAAGGTTGTAATATACGTTTAATATGTTTAGGTAATATAAGTAGAAGAATATTTTAATTGCAAAATAAAAAACTTGACGTCATAATCCGGGTACGGATTAAAGTCTAAATGTGATAATCGGAGTCGCGATGATGCGCACGCAGCCACATTATTGCGACTTACAGATTTACACGTTAATTAAATTTATACACACTCGACGATGATCGGTCACGCGATACACCGTCGTCATATCGTGTGAATGCGTACGTTCTGCCACGCCTGCAGATGCAAGTGCAGGTGCAGACACACGTATAACATAGTCGCGTGAGTATGCAACGCGAATCATAATGGAACATACTGTTGATATGAAGCGATATCACTGTACCGCTCAGAGACGACGACGACGACGACGACAGCAACAGACCTAAACAACGACGGTCCTTATCGTCTTCCCGTATTCCTGTCACCTATCACGACACCCGTTGCACATTAGAACGTCGTCGCCGTCTTCGTTGCATAAACACGTTTCGATGCTTGGACCAATTAAACTTGGTCGGCTGAAACGGAAAAAAGAAATATTATCGACGATATAAGTATGTTACACCAACGTTTTGCATGATTGAACGAAAACTTTGCGTGTGTTATTGCACGTGAAAATTCTTACAGAAAAATAAAGGAATGAAATTTTCCTTTCTACTCTTCTTATTTCTTCTTTTCATTCTCAGATCTTATTCATGCATTTCTATTATCATCAGCGTTTCTGCGAGAAACCTTGTAACACATAGTTGCAACAACTTTCGCGAAGCAATTTTCTACAGATTTTAATTTACAACGCAAATTTTATATTATTGATTGGTTCTATCAATATGCACGACATTACATTAAATCGATAGTTCGATGCCAGTTACTTGCATGTGGAAATTTGCTTTGCATGTCACAATTATCCGTCCGCAAAACGTGAAAATAAGTTCGAGCGCACAATATGAGCTCCATTTCCATTTGCAACTCTTGAAAACCGATATTACATACTTTCATGCTAAATTGCGCGATAATTCATTTTCGCGTGCGGTTTGCATTGAAATTTATATACGTAAATAATACGCGGGACGAATGAAACCGAAATGTATGTACTTTTGCACATTTAAACGTAAGTAAAGTTAGCGCTCTACGTCGCAACATTGTGCTCCTCTTAACATCAAAGTGGCGACATCTTTGGTAGATGTTGCCAAATAAAACTAAAACATAAGCGCAATACATTATCGACGGTTTATATTTTTATTAAATAAATAATTTAAAACGCGCAGAAATATTTTTTTAGATTTCAAATTTTTTACTAGCATTATTGTATCATTCAACTTATGTCAGATGTCTTTCAATATAATTCTGGATAACGTTGTCTGATAAATTTTCCTGGTGGACAAGTAGGCCATGGCTTGATTAAACATTTCGGTTGCCCTTGACATTGCGTCAAAGGACAATCATCTTGAAGACCATCTCTGTGCAAACAGTAACATCTGGAATATAATACGCCTCCTCTCATTTCTGGAAACTTTATAAGAGATGGTTTCTGAAAACATGATAAATCAATGAATCAAATGCTGATTATATAAAATAAAACAAAATACATTTTGAAAGGATAGGCCAGTGCACTTTATATCGATAAAAAGAAACAATTTAATAAATTTTACACAAAATTACAGCGTAGACATTATTCTTGAATGTGAAATTTATTCATTGACTCATTTATTACTAACCTTCTGTTGATCAGTTTTCTTCCGACATTTTTTTCGAATTTTTAACGAAGAGCAATAGTCTTTTTTTGACTTGGAGGTTCTTGCGTCCCATGTGGAAATACTTGGTAACTTACTTTTTTCGATATGAATTACTGTATTGTTCAGTACAGGTATTATTATGCATTTCTTTGATGATGTTGTTTTGCATTGTATCTTTTTATGTTGATCTCGCAGTATTTGTGTGCTGGAAGAGCTAAAATATTAAATATGTAATCTTGAACATGAAAACAATAAATTGAAAAATCTAAGATACTGTAAGCAGATTATTTATTGTAAAAAGTTATTATTGCATTGCAATAAAAAAAAATAAAAATAAATATACGCATATGTGCACATTTAAGTACAAGTTAATAAATATTTACATATATATAATGGTATATTTATTTAAAAAATATCAAATATGTATAACTAACCATTTAAATGTTGCATCTTTTAATTGATGAACTTTCTGGTCGATAATTTGGGTTGTAACAGACATAACGTTAAGTAAATATAACAGAAAATAATAAGAACAAATACAGAATTTACTTAAATGTGTGAAAAATACGGAAAATTTTGATTTTAAGGCCAAATTGTACAGAAATAACACATATGACTAATATGACTATTTGATTTACATTTTTTGTATATAATATTATTCTTTTATTTTTATTAATAACGATATCTAGAGTAGCAAATTTCATGCAAAAAAAATATAATCGATTAAAATCAATTAATATTTTATCTTGTATCGATAAGAAAGAAAAAATGTTATACGACTGAAATTAGATACAGTTTTCTTTCTCTTAGCGTTAGAAGGCAAAATACCATATGTTGCACCACAGAGAAATCAGACAACAGCTATCCCATTACACTTTCTTATTACTTTTTCGGCCGCTAGTTTTAACGCCATACAGTCACAAAAGTAGGTGTAGAACTACGTTCAACGTTTACTTTCAGAAGTAGACGATAAAATTAATTAAAAATGTGTATAAAGAAATTATATGTACGTACAATTATTATATTATACACAATGTTTTCACAGAACTTTTGCTGTCTACGATTTAACGAAGGATATTGTTAGAGTAGTATCATAAATTATGATAAAAAACAATCTTATCTCTATTATTGTTATTCATCCTACTGTTCATATTTCAACAGTATCAAAAAAAAACTATTTTTGTACTTTCGTAAGAACTAAATCATTAATACATGTCAGTAAAAACATATTAACTGCAAAAGCTTGCGCTGTATATTATTTTTAATCATAATATTGATTTACAAGCAGCAAAATAAGTAGTATACTCGTTAATAACTTTACGTTTATAACTTTAAGCGTGTTATGTTTTTCTTTTACCGCACAAAAGTTTAATCGGATTTTTTAAAGTATGTCTATAATTGAAGAAATATTTTCTCGCTATCGGTGTTCTACTACTTTCAACGTCATTGATAGAAAATAGAAATATTGGAAGCACAAGCAAAAGTCTCTCGTCAAGCATCTTATTTTAAGATAAGAGTATCAGACGAGAAGCAACAAAAGAGATGATATAATTGTAACACATTATTTTGTAATATTAGGTGATTGATTAAGAAATAAAGGAAAACATTGGAAGGACGAAACAATAAAAGTATTCTTTGCATTTAATACGATTTTTATTATATTTACATGCATTTATATTTATTACATTTCTAAACTAAATATCTTATTATATTACAAAAAGAATATGAATATGTTACGAATAAATTACCGATTTATAAATATATTAATATTAGTATTATTTTTTACTTCAATCGATTAACATCACTTCAATATTACTCTATGCGTAACAATGTATAAAAAAATAGTATATATAAAATATTTTTCTATCACAGTAATTGAAATTTGTATTTTTGGTTGGATTTTTGAAACTATTATAATGATGTATTCTTGTTTTTTAAGTAATTTATGAGTACAATATTATAATACAAACAATACAATGTATAATCGTAATGAATGGTATAGTATATATATCGTATTGTTGATACAATATCAAAATACTTCTGGAATTGTTACAGAAGTCATAAAGGTATGTAATAATTATATTTGAGAAATCTATAATTGTTAAAAGTTACTTAAGAAACAAGAGATAAAATATAACAGCTTTTCTTACTCAGAAAGAAAGTTGAAGACCACTACTGATTGCGAAGCGTAATCGCACGTGTACGAGCGATAAAAGAAAAACATCAGGCATGACCCTCAAAAATCCGGCCAAAAATGCAAATAATTCCGAGCACTGCTCTATCATATAAATTTTTGTTATTCATTTTGTTGTTCATATAAAAAGAAATTTAAATGAAAATAACACAATTATCGAAACACAAAACACAAACAATTTTTTTACTTCAATAAAAAAAGAAAAAACAATGCGCACAATTATTAAAAAGCAAACTGATTGCAATATCTTTATTCCTTTATGTCTCTAAAAGCAAGGATATCTCGTTGTCTAAAGCGAATCTCGTGCTTCTTCAAACGTATGTAATTCTGACGATGACGTATTTTTTGTAAAAGAGGATCGACAACAAGTTTTAGCTAAAACAGATTACAAAATATATATATTTATGACATTCATGATAAAATCTTTTATATTCTTATTCTATAAATATGATAAAAGCATTATACTAGTATATTCATTATAGAAGAGAAGAACAAATAAAGCAGTTTATATGTAAAGAATAGTTTACACATAAATCGGAAAAAAGTAACTCTCTCAATTATAAAGATATTAAAACAATATTTCAAATATTTTAAAAATTTACCTCAGTATCCTTCAAGGTTTCTACATAAATTTTTACCTACGAACAAATTGTGCGATTATTATTAAATATTATATAGTTGAATTGTAGAAACATATTTGTCTAATACAAACTTAATATTTATTTATTAACAGAAAGAAGAATATATAAACTTTTATATAAATTTGATATATACACATACACACATTTATATATACTTTTATATATATAATATACATATATATATATATATATATGAAAAAAGCGAGTATGTTTAATAATTACGTAACTGAAATAAATAATTATTATATAACGTACCTCTTCCAACAATTCTTCCGAATGTATGTTATTAATAATAACTGTCAAAACTGAATGTAGGTTAACACACCTATAATAACAAGAATATATGTAATGAGCTTATAATTAGTATGGAAGATTTATTAATACATGTGTGCAAGATTTTATGTAATGTGATAAGACAATAATAAATAAATCTAATAAGTATGACAAAATATGTAGAACATAGATAAAGTTTTATACACAATATAAACAGTTCGATATATGTAAAAAATTCTTTTTACCTTGGTTTTATACGCTGCAGTTCGTTTAACTTAATCTTCAGCAATTGTAGATCATCACTATTTTTTTTAAGAATATTTAACAAAGTATCAAAATCATCAATTAGATTGTTATCCAAAAATTGTTGGCGTAGATTATCTTGTGCTAGGAACTCTAAAGATTTGATGAGATTATTAGGCTTTCTGCTACAAGATGCGAACTCTTCGTGTTCTAAAGTAGTAAACTCTGTATTGTTTAATAATATTTCCCAAATAGATTCCTGATAAGCACCATTCTCTAGCTTTAAAGCCTGGCAATATATCCATTTCCGCCAATTTAGCAAAAGTCTGCAAATATTAAAGAAATTAATATAATCCTAATTAAAACTAATTGTTTCTACTTGTTTTATATTCGTAATAATGTATTAAAGCTCATGTTAGTGATACTTTATGTAACTTATAAGTAGAAAAACGTACTTCTTGTTTACAGGATCAGTTAAATGCCATTGTACAATAGGATTAATATATGATTTGCACATTGTATCATCAAGAACACATATCCATTTTACAGCTTCGTGACGTAACTGATTAAGAATATTATTCTCGAAATCTGAATCTTTTACTTTCTTCATTACATTATTAGCCTTATTCAGTATTACTGCAAATCTCTTCTACAAAAATATAATGTAAAATATTATATTGTAAATTATCTCTGTCTCTATATTGTAATATATAACTTTTAATATATTTAAATGCATTATTAATTTTACTTCATATTTATTTTTTATATGGGTTGACAGAGAAATGACCGTTTGATATAGGATACACTATATTTTAACAATTTGGAATGTATATTTTTTAAGTAATATATTCTTATAATATTTACCTTAAGATTCGTATCATATGGAAACATCTTTGTCGATGCGTATTCAAGAGCAGAAAACATAGGAAACCACTCAAAATAAGACATATTATGCAACAAATTGCTTGCAAGATCAAAGAATATGGTTAAATCATCATCATCTGACTTATTATTATTGTTATTATTTTTATAATTGTTATTATTTTTATAATTGTTATTATTTTTATTATTTTTATTATTTTTATTATTTTTATTATTTTTATGATTATTATTATTTTTATGATTATTATTATTATCTGTAGACATTTCTCTTTCTGGATATTTGACCAAAAAATAAAAAGCATCATCGAGAAGGTGTGCACGAGTCATTAGATCTATAGGAAAAAAGTAAGGGTCTCTCAAGAACGGAATAATATTTCTCCAGGTTCTACGATCATAGTTGACGCGATATCCTACAAAAAAAAAAGAAATATTTAGAAAAAGAGAAAAAAAGAAACATGCAATATAAAGTAAATAAAAAGTAAAATAACAGTAAATAATAAATTTTTCTAAGTAAGTTTAAGATAGTAGTTGCACAATGTTTGCAGCATTTTTGCAAAAAACTCAACAGTATCCCTACAACATGCTCCTCGTTACGCTTCAGTCTTTTTTATACATATGTATCTACAAAATGTTTATATAAATCTAAACAAATATTTTTATGTTGATATATTACCAGTGTGTCTCATGAGAACAAAAAGACTATCGCTGTCAACACTCGGAACCGTGATAATGTGGTTGTCCGGTGTTAGAATGTTTTTTACTATTGCGATGACTGGATACGACGTTGGGGGCATGGATTCCCTTCTTTCACGATAGTTATATAAATAGGATACAGGTATCCACCACTTGTTGTTACACACTTTATTAGGTGTTGATACATTTGTAATCAAAATACAGTCTGCAACCATTATTGTCGCAGAATTTTCATCATAGTTTCGTGTCACTTTTATCTTAGGATAACCTTCGTACGTTGCCCAAGAATATATCACATCTTTTAATTCTTTCTTTCTCTCTTGTAATTCTTCACTTCTCTTTTTCATGCTTTCAAATTTGTCCCACATATCGAGAATTGGCCGCTTATCATTTACGTATGTATTACTTGATTGTGACAACAGATAACATAACAAAACGTGTATCGATTATTTACAGTAATAAATGGTATTAGAAAAACATGCATAGATAAGAGAAATATACGCATAGATAGAAAATATTGATAGAAAAAATGTATTACAAGATTTTATAATAGAATAGGTTTTCGTATTCAAAGACTAATTTTTTTGACACGTAAAGAACCCAAATATTGTCCATCTGCGTATTTCTAAAGAATAACTATAATAAAAAAACTTAAAAAACAAATATGGATATGTATACGCAAAAAAATATACATATATAATTTATTGATATATTAAATAAATGTCAAAATTATTGAAAAACTTTACATACTATTTATTGATCGAACAACATTTCAAATCTACACAAGTTTCTTTCTCAAAGATTCCTAAAATTTTTCAAACTCTGACATTGGCAAATTATTGATGACTTTGCAAATTATCAATAAGAGCATCAATTTCTTTTAAGGATTTAAATATAACTATTATATTGTCATGCAATAAATGAGTAAAATACATTATCATATAATTTATTATATTATATGTATAAAAATCTTTGATGACTTTTTATCTCTTTCTACTTCTAAACGTTTTGGTAAAACGTTACACATAGAGTGAATCAAGCATAGTATGAAAAATTTTGAAATGTGTATAACATATTTTTGTTATTAATAATACATGTACTCACTTGTTATAATATATGTTGTAATATATGTTCTCGGCTTCCTTAAATATCAATTCGATGAGATCTATATCTTCGTAATAAGTACTCCACATGTGGAAAAAACTAAATGCTACAATATAATGTAAAATATGAAGGTTATTATTAATTATTTTAGTAGTTATATTTACTTAATTTTACCTTTTGCTTTCCAAGAATGACTGAGAAGTAAGTTTTTATGAAATGTATTGTTTTGATATTGAAGGTAATTAAATAATTCTACATCATCAAAAAATTGCGATCGTTTCTGGACTATATAAACACTCATTGCCTCTTCCTCATCAATCTGCCAAAAATTTTAATGATTATATATAAAAACAATAATCTGTAATAGCATAGATATTGTAAATTTTGCAATAAAGAAATCTGTGAGTGATATTCTTCATTAGAAAAATTAATGCTATAACATAGCATATTAATAATAGGAAAAATTATATTGACAATATATGTAGCATATATGTGCATCCTAATTATATAAGTAGTGTGAGATTAAACGCTTCTCAAGTAATACAATTAATACACAAAAAGACTAATAAAAACTAAACGCTGATCGTTTGTTACGCAAAAATTAATACTCTATAAATATTACATTCAAATATTAATAGTATTTCCTTATAATCAAATGTATTTTTGTATTAAAAAAAAACATAAAAATGCACAAAAAAGAACTAACATTTTCCAAAAAACGTGAAGTTCCGTAATATGTCGAAAAACCTTTGGTAAACCAAAGATCAGACTGCCGATATGTGGCCATCCAATTACTGAACACTTCTTGTATTACAGTACGTGCTACTAAAAGTGTTACGTCTCTTTTCCTTATCGGAACTGATTGGTAATTGCATACAATGTTATTGTCCCTGAAAATAAGATTGTTTTTATTGCAATTCTGTTGTTCACAGTACATTTGTTTACAAGTTTGTCTTATTGTTTTGAATTGTATATCTTATTTAATTGTATATCTCTTTGTGTACCTGAGAAAAACAAGTCCTGGAGTTACTGCATCTTCATATTCTGTATTGTTATGTAGTATGTAACGCACATTTATCCATGATAATAATAGATTCTTCTGGTTTTTATATACATAATTCGTGACCTTATCAATAACAAAGTTTGCATGTTGAATGTCATTTACTATCTCTGGTTTGCACCAAATGCTGACAAGTTTATTCACATATATCCGAATTACTGTATCAGGCAAGAGTGCTACTGTTAGCAAATGAGTAGACATTAGAGTTGTCGTATAAAAATAGTCAAAATGGTAATTATTTATATTAGTATCTGTGTCTCTAACAGACATATGTGACAGAGCCTTATAAATATTGTTGTTATATTTAATGCTAACAGTAAATGTGGCTTTTTTTTCTGAATCGATCCAATACGGAAATACCCAATTATTCGGAATACGTGAGAAAATCATATATCTACGTAAGAAAACAAAACATATGTTATGCATAGATATGTTATTATCTTACTAATAAAAGTATGTAAAACATTTAAATTCACTACGTAAATAATATTAATATAAAATACATTTTTGTGATAATGCATTAGAAATTTTTGTCGAATATCGAGACAAATGCGAGTTAATATACAAGCGTTGTTTAACGCTTTACTTACGTAGAGTTTGCTGCTATCAATTGTTCGATTAAAGATTTAATATTTTTCTTTTAATTACCGAAAAAGATCCAAACAATAGATTGAATAGTTTGATAATAATACATTTATTTATATAAATATACAAATAACTTGTATATTGGCTCGCTGTTTACCTTAATATTTGAATTTTTCTTTTTTATAAGCATTTATTTATATAAATTCTCTTGTGCAAATTGTGCATGCGTTTCATTATTTATATTGTGCTTGATTAATCCACAATAATATGTGTCGCGAACACTGTTCTTTTCTTTTATTAATCTTTTAGTAATTACACAAATGTATGAATTTTCTACTCGCCGCTGTCCTTTCCGTCTGAGTGAAAACAAGAAAGCAAACGAAATAGAGTGGGATAGAGCAACAACCAGCTTGTTGCTTTATCCCACTCTCTCATTAGCTCTCTTTCTCACTCACATGTAACAGAAAATATCGAGAAATAAGATAAAAACTAACAACGACCGAGAGACGAAAACAATATCATGTGTCTTCATCGCACAAAGAGAACAGATAAAAGACCGAGAATGTTGCTGAGCGATTTCAAATACGAAAAAGAGATGTAATCTAGGCAAAAGACTATTTTTTGACTAATCGGACTCGTATTTTGTTGAACTTCTTACATGTCATGCATAGCACATGATATTACTTTGTATCGAACGAGAGTGATAAACAAAAAATATCAAGGTTTATATATCATCAAGATACAAAAGACATCGATGCGTGTTTTCGTTTCCGTTATCAGCATTTAATATATGTATATATGTCTCAAATGTAAATAATACTTTAGTCAAGTTTCCGTAATAATATATTGATACAGTCAATGTGGCAATAAATAATGTGTGACTACATTGTAGAAATATTATATAATACTAGTAGCTTAATATGTGTACTTACCTTTCTTCACCTTTGTTCGTATATGTTATTAAGAATTTTGCAACATTTTCTAGAGTACACATACTTGTTGAATTTATCCAGTATTTTTCAGGTGACACATTTGTTCTTGTTTCTACTACTTCCTCACCATCGTTCATGACACGTATATTGCTCTTAAACATTTCACGCGTAACTCGATTTTCTTTCGTCGAACGTGATTCTATGGTTCTTAAAATCGTAGAATTATCTTCAATAAATGAAGATAACATAATATCAAATGCTCTACAATCTCCTTCATATAATATTATTTTCGGCAGTGTACATGAAACGTTTATCAGAGCAGACTGTGTGATGAAGAAGCCATATTCGTCCATATTAACATTCAGAATATATTCTAACGGTTCTACACATTCCGATGACAAAGATTCCACATCCTCGGTAGAAGAAGATAGATCAATTACGCTGATAAATATTAACCATATAATTCCGAGGAATTTAAGCATCTGCATATTTCGTATCTACAAAAATTATTTGGTTTATCAGACAAGAAAAATCTACAGATAAAAACGCGTAATTATTGCAAATAAATTACGCAAAAATAAATATTATACGAGAAAAAAAAAAGATAAAATAAATCACGAGGTAAAATTGATCAATTTAGAAACTAAATAAAGTTTCTATATACTTGCAATATTATAATAAAATTTTTTTAGAGAACGTCAAAAAGGAGGTTAATTTTATTAATTTCCAACGGATAATATACGATTTAATGATTTATTTTCAGTAGATAATATACGACTTAATATGATCAAGATATAAGCCGGTCTGTTTCAAGTTGCGCGACCGATTTTACCCCGTCTTCCAATAACAAGTTACTTTCTCAAATATATAAACAAACAACAAAAGTGGATATATCTTATACATATGTTGTCAATGTGCTATAATATTTCTTACATATACACGCGCGCACACGCACGCACACATATCAGTATTTATAAAGATTTCGTCCTTCTATCACAATATGACATATACAAAAACAACTAAGAAAACAAGTGTAAAGATTCTTAATCGCTATTGACAGTATTATTTCAACGAGAATATGGAAATATATAAATATTTTAATATATGTAAATATATATAAATATTTTAATCATATTTATTGTGTTTATCTTAATCTTATATACGCGATAAATAAAAACTTAAATCATGTATATATTACAACGTAAAAAAGTTAGATAATATTATAATATGTACATATATATTTGATAATATATATTTAACGTATTTGTTCTCAAGAATATACATATACATTGAAATTTTATTATTTTCCATTTCTGCTTCTGTTTTACATTAAATATGATATACTGGTGTAAAATAACAAATATAGTAATGTTTATAACACGTAATGATTACGATTGTGCAGTTTCTTTAAAAAAAGAAATTTAAAAAAAAATATATGACTTTGACAATGTTAGAACAAATTAACTTTATGATAGAAAAAACGAGCAAACATATATTTATACGTTAGAGATGGTAAAATATTTCACGTCGAGTTTCGATTTGATCTAAAAAATATTAGATTTAGTTACTTACCATGTTGTGAGATTCAGTTCACTAAAACATAAATCTTGGATTAATTAGCTAATAGCTAATAATATCGTTGAGAATTGGTATAACTAGAACGTCTGTAAAGAATTTGCTCAAGTATCTTCAAAACGTGCGATCTTAACTCTTCGAGAGATTATCGCAAACTAAAGGACATTCGCGTCTTCGTCGAATAATAAATACGTAGCACACGTTTGAAGAAATGTCCTTATATGTTGTTTTCTGTTCTTATATATGATTGTGTATTCTATCATTTACTGCTTGCTCCACAATAAAGACAATTTAGATCCCCTAGCATCGTGGGGACTTTTTCTTATTCCACTTGACATTACTCATTAATCGGAGTTAGAGCAACTCCGACAATCTAGAGTCGAATTGGTTCTCTGTATCATAGACTTAACATATATCTATAAGCGCGTTGTTTTTAGGGCGCTTTAAAAGTCAGTATGTCTTTATTGCTCTTTAAACACATCATTTTACTGTTACTAGCAAGTTTATATAACATAATAATAAAAAAATAATTAAATACTATTTTTCTAAAGCGCGCGATTACAGGCGCGCTCGGGAAGCACGCTATCAGCGCTATCGCATCATTCTATCTTTATCGTTCGTCTGACAAAAACAAAGATAGAATGATGCGATAGCGCTGATAACACGCTTCCCGAACGCGCCCTACATGAGCTGAAGCCCCGTATGATTTCGAGCTAATTCGTCCCTGAGCTCGAGTCGTTTGAGCGTTTTACGCTCCAAGCAAAGCCAAGAAGTCCAGAGGATCGATTCTGTATCACGCAGTGTAGTGAAAATTAAAAAAGTGAGCAAATAATTTACTAAAAAATATCTATGATCTTATTGGTCAACAACTAGTAAATTTGCTCACTTTTGTAATTTTCACTACATTGCATGGACACACAATCGACTCCCAGAGAAGTGGGAATGGCAGCAAGTACAGCTACCGAAGCTCGTTCAAAATTATGACACTCTACAGATCTTAAAGCAAGAAAGTCTTCGAACCGAACGTACCTGTAAAATGGCCTTCACCCTACCATCGGGCCACTACAGTATATATTGCTTCAGCTGTATCTCGTTAGGTCAGTACGCGATGACAAGCTGGAAGTAAGCTGCAACATGAGTAAAATACTTGTTCTAATTTTGAGTGCGGTTTTGTTGTTGCCGCGCGAAAGTTTAAGCGGATTTTTCAAGGTATATCCGCCCTTAAAATTATTTCCTCTTGATGTCAGAGACGATCCTGGTGTTCCATTGTTTTTGACACCTCTAATAGAAAATGGAAAAATCGAAGACGCACGAGCAAAGGCTCTCGTCCAGCACAAAGACATGGGTGATGTTAGCAGTTATGCCGGTTACTTCACAGTTAATAAAAAATATAATTCCAATCTCTTCTTCTGGTTCTTCCCAGCAATGGTAAGTATAATAAAGTAGTTATTATATGTCATTATATTTTTGTAATAATGTAACAATTTTGTAAAACATGTCAAAATAGAAGAGTAGAAAAATGTTAGTACAAAAGAAAACTAATAAAAATAAAATTATAATAAGCATAAAGATATTCAAGACTCTAGATAATATTCGGAACAGTATATATATATATAATATATATTTTGTTATCTGCATATTTACCATAATATTTGTATGCATGTTGTATACGTATATGTATACGTTGATTATTGATTATTGTACGATTATCATACTGTGTACAATAATTAGTTATGCAAAAAATAGTCATACATCAAATATTATTAGCAGTTATTATTAGTTTATTATGCAAAATAAGGTTTTTTCAATCAGGAAGTAAAATTTAGAAAGTTATATAAGAAAATAAACTTTTTTTTTTATATTTTACAGCATAATCCTAAAACAGCTCCGGTAGTACTCTGGCTACAAGGTGGTCCGGGATCAACTTCGCTATTTGGTCTCTTTATGGAAAATGGTCCATTTGTTGTAACTGCTAACAAAACACTGACGAATCGCAAATATTCATGGAATTTAGGACACAATGTAATTTATATTGATAATCCAGTTGGTACTGGATACAGTTTTACCGATAATGAAAAAGGATATGCCACAAGTGAGACGGATGTGGGAAGAGATGTTCTTCATGGTTTAGTACAATTCTTTCAATTATTCCCAGAGTTGGAAAATAATGATTTCTTTGTTACTGGTGAGTCATATGGCGGGAAGTATGTGCCAGCGATATCTCATGCCATTAAAGAATATAACGTTAAAGCAGAGAGGAAAATTAACATGAAAGGTTTAGCCATTGGTAACGGACTATGCGATCCAGAAAATCAATTGTTTTACGGCGATTATTTATATCAACTTGGATTAATAGATTTAAATGGAAAAAATCTATTTCATAAGTATGAGCAAAAAGGCCGTGATTTAATTAAACAAAAAAAGTACATCGAGGCATTTGAAGTGTTCGATTTACTAATTGATGGTGATTTAACTAGCACTTCGTCTCTATTCAAGAATTTAACTGGTTTAAATGAATACTACAATTACGTGAATGCACAAGGCGATGATGGCGATGATAGCGATTTGATGTCTGAGTATGTTCAAAGAGCTGATGTCAGACGTGCTATACATGTAGGAAACAATAGTTTTCACGTCGGTAGCAGTGATGTTGAAAAACATCTAAAAGCAGACATCATGAAATCCATAGTTGATCTCTTGGTAGATCTTCTGAAACATTACAGGGTACTTCTATACAATGGACAATTAGATATCATTGTAGCATATCCGCTCACGGAGAATTTCTTACAAAAAATGCAGTGGTCCGGAGCGCAAAAATATGCAAAAGCACCGAGAAAGTTGTGGATGGTTGAAAAGGAATTAGCAGGATACTCAAAAACTGTTGATAATTTAACGGAAGTTCTTGTGCGAAATGCAGGTCATTTGGTTCCTTTGGATCAGCCGAAATGGGCGTTAGATCTTATTACACGATTCACACACAATAAAAAGTTTTAAAGTAATTGAAAATTGCTCTACCAAATGTGACGTAAATTTAGAAATCTTTTTACAATATTTACTATTGTAAAGAAAACTAATATGTAATATGTGCCAATTATACTTAAACTCAAATAAATAACGAAGCAAATTCATAATATAAGCTGTCTTGTTAAAATGATTTATTAAATTGAGACATAAAAAAATTGTGATTTCTCGAAAAGAAAAATATATAATATGTATATACATACATGGAAATATAACTTAGAAATATAGAAATGTTCACATCGAACAAGTAGTGTTTCTTAAAATAGAAAATTATCCATCAAAAAAATGGAAATTTATATCAATATATCTATATAAATCTGAATTATTTATGTAATATAAAACAATTTCTTAATCCTATATATATGTATACATTACATATGTACATACGTGTAGAACGTTTCTCTCTATACACTTATTTTATGTTGAAATATAAAATGTCATGATATTGAGCGACAATGTTATCATAATTATATAATAATAATATTTAATAATTATAACAATAGTCTTTTGAATTTCAATTATAATTTCAGTAAATATGGCAAAATTTTCTTCTTTATATCTTATATATATTTTAATCTAAATATGGTAATAAAAATTGATCTACAATAGAAATATTTTTATGCCAGTCAGAATGTTGAATTCCTGGGACAGTAATAATTTCTAGTTTTCCTTGTTCATTTAATGTTTTTAAACCTATCGTATCATCTTTATAAACAGATCTGTTAAACATTTCTATCACAGTGAGATTACTATCATAATATCCGAAATGACTACTTTGCCATGGAGTAATAACTCCGTCATCTGGTCCTCCAATAAGTATCATACGTTCTAACTTAATAAGACCCGATTTGAAGTCAGAATTGTTAAATAGTTTAATTTCATTGTTAACATATGGCAAAAATTTGCTATACTCATAGTACAGTTTCTGAAAAAAAAAAAAATATATATATATATATACATGTCAACATTACATATACTATATATAATGTACAGTAGGGAGCAGCATATCGTGCGGTTCCAGGGGAAGTATTTTTTGGGAATTTCTCCTTTGACTGCTTCTACTATCGCGCGTCGTTTTCCTTTGATCTCTGCCAGCAGCCCGAGATCGAAGGAGAGCAGCGCGTAGTAATAGGAGCAGCTAGAAAAAAAATTTCCGAGAAATACTTCCCCTGGAGCCGCACGATATGGTGCTCCCTATTGTACATATACTATATGTATGTAACTATATTATGTTTGTAAAACAACATATACGAACTTGATGATAAGGATCATTCCAATAATTTCCAACACTAGTGTGTTGCCCAAGTCGTGAATAAAAAAGTTCGTAAGCAGTTTCACAAACCAGACCTGGAAAGATTAGATGCAGAAAATTTGCTGAAATCAAAAAGATTCCTTCAATTAATATAAAATCTGACTCTTCCTATATACTTCTTCGAAAACATTATAGTTGTACGTACTTCCGTATTGTCCTGCTTGCGGTGAACTCAAAGAAATAAAATTTCTTACGTTGTGCATAGGAAACCTCTGCAATATCGCTCGAGCTAATAAACCACCTTGACTGTAGCCTATTAAATTAATTCCTTCGGGAAATGCAGCGCCTATAGAAATTACATCCATGCCTACTTCCTCTACCTGTTGCCACATTGGTTCCAGGCTGCTCCAGCCCGCAAATCTAACAGTGTTGTAAACTGGAGTTCCCGGATGCATCTGCGTTTTTGAAGATATAATTTTAGGTACAAAAAAGATATATACATAAATTTAACTATAATTTACATTTTATATTTATATTATATTATATTTTTTTACAATGATTTATTAGTCGTTATCAATACGTCACGTTTGCATCAAGGACATTGCGCTAACAGCTGTTTTGTTTCATTCATTCGGTTTACCTCTTGGATTCTATCACTGATAAGTTTCATGCTGATATTCCCGGTTAGCACACCGTGGATAATGACCACCGGGTGATACACTTTTGCATCATTGTATGATAACAAATATATTAAAAACAAATAAATATAATTATATATCACAGAACTTTGTTTTGCCATTGTTCTTCAACGCTACAAATGCACACAAGCTGCAAAACAGCTGATGTCCAGCTGATATTTCAGTAGCGCTACACGGAAAGTTGGAGCAACTAGTTCGAGTTAAATCGCCGATATACGCACACACAAAAATACTATAGTATGTTACCAGTAGAAGATAGTAGTAAGTGAAGATAGTAGATGATGAGAATTATCATCCGTTGATATTTATTGTGTTATACAATAAACACAATGCTATATTTATAAAAGAAGTTTAATATTCTATATTTTATTACAATGTATAGTAATTGTTACACACACATAATAAAATGTCATATATCTCTCAGAGAGATATGTATTTTTATTTACTTAAATCAAACTTGGGCGTCAGATTGTTGCTCACAATTTTGTAAATCATCTTACTATTAATTGTTATATTAATATTGTTTATATATATACTAGAGAGCTTTGTTTTTAGTTGCGCTACTAATTGTCAAAGCGCATCTCCCAACAATCTCAAAAATCTGTCTCCTCTACATACACAAGCCGCGGGAGATTGCTCAATATAAAAAATTCCATAAATACGGAAGCAATGATCCTGCAGTTAAAACAGTGGTCGGATGACGATAAATCGAAGGGCGAACGAAAGGAGGGTGCTGACGGCCGAAGGAATTCAATTGCATCGTGAAACGGTGCGTTGTAGAATATAGTGGATCGCCACCCTAATCCTTACGGGCTGCTAGGTGGCGGGGCACGTGGTATTTTCCCGTGCTCTCGCCTATTCAGCCATACATCACCGTGCTCTGACATTGCGCCCGCTTTTCCCCCATCCCGTAGACAGAAACTCACGCCCTGCGCCGAGACGACGACGGGATGCCGGGCGCATTGTTTCGACCAGCGTCATTCATGATTATCACGGCTTTAACCCTTGAAGAAGCAACCCTTTCGCTGTTCGCGCCATTATCCGAGCATTGATGTACTACCGGAATCCTAACGCTATTGCCACTTTTCGGTGCTTTAATAAATCATCAGTTTGCAAATAGCGTTAATATGGTTTTAAATTATCTATAATTCTCTATAATTCATATTACGCACATGTGAAAGTTCGATGATAAGTAGGTGTATCTAGGATATATGGCTGAGATATAGTTTTTTTTACATATTATTATCTTATCTATTTTGAATTATTTGTTATTATTTGTCTTATTTATTTCCAACAACATGTGTGTACCAAAAAATATGTTTGATTGTCTACGTATCAAGATAATACACACACACACACGCACTCGTGCATTCTTCAAGCATTATTGGAAACACAATTGCGCAGTTATCACGATCATGAAGAATCACTGAATTTTCTCGCGAAAAAGATATCATTAACCCTCATAGAACGAATGATCTCTCCGCGCTCGAAATTCGAAGGGTTCTACCAACGATCAACGCGTCATTGCAAATGAAGTAATTTGCGAGAATGACAGCCGAGATATTCGACGCTTAAGGACAAAATTAGAACTGTCGTGTGCTGCCACAAACACATCATACACCATCGTGACGACGGTGAAAGGGGTGTCGCGTTTCTAATCAATTTTATTAGATTCTCCACGAATCAAATGATACGTTGGCGTTTCAAGATCTTCGTGCGAGATCTTCATCTAGCTGATCGGGCTTAATCCGATTCCGATTCATTATATATCGGCTCACATAATCTTCATCTTACTTATCATCTCCCTTGACAAATGATGCTTATAGAAACACACAGATATATATGAGACACACAGATAATCTACTATTGTGTGTTTTTACATCTTTTTTTGCATTCGTGTATTTTCACTTTATTAGAGATAAGGTCGTAAGAAGTTGAAGAATATGATACAGTAAGACGTAGTAAACAAAAACAACGACGGTGCGGTGCAATTTGCAACGAGGATCGTTACGAAGGACTGCAAGACCGGGGGTCCTCCTGGGAAGGTCAGAGGACGTAGATTCCTTCATCCACTTCCTGCGGTATGATATCCGGTGATGGTTGCGCGCCTCGGTTAACACTCGGCGGACTGAAATAGCGAGCCAGCCGACCGCGAATATTCTTGATTAAACGCAAAAAAGCTCGGAGACCTACCGCTCGCCTTGCGCTACAGTCGTGGCTGCGTTTTTTCGCCACCCTCCGCCATCACGACGGTCGGGCTTGAGCACGGAATTGGATTGGCCGCCTTTTCTCTCGCTCGCATCCCACCTTCCTGTGACTGCTTTATCTTTCTCTCTCTCTCTCTCTCTCTCTTTCTCTTTCTCTTTCTCTTTCTCTTTCTCTCTCTCTCTCTCATTTTATCCGTCGTTCAACGGAAGAAACACCAGCGGTTTCAAAGCATTGGGGGGACTCGATTAGAGCAGCTTGCGACCGCCAGAAGTACCTGGACACGTTCGTTCTTTCGTGCTCGTCCCTCCATCTAAATTGTTGTACACTATCCAGGCAATCTTTTTTGATAAGAGGTACAACAGTACTTGTTCGGAGAATGTGTATCTTTAATCAAATATTTCCGCATGACAGTGAGGTATGCCTGTCATAATCCACGACTTTTGCTTTAATCTCTAGAATCGATAGATTTTACAACAGCTCTTTGACATTGTATTCTTCTTTTAACTTAAATAACGTATATACGTGACATGTGTTTTGTAATGTCAAAAAAGTCAACGCAAAGTTTTATTTTTATAGTCTCACAGTTCACAAAAAGTGCGTAGACTTATATGAGTCACGCATATACCGAGGAATTTTCTCCAAAGTCTCTTCTGAGTCTCGCGAAAAAAATTTATGCGCATTTACATATGCAGTTAATAAAACAGTACAATATTTTGTAAATTTAAATGTGCACCCGCACATGACGAATGAACAGCGAGGCGGTAATGTTCGCAAAAATATTCAGGACCTGCTGCGATGAGATGCGCGCCTACGCAACATCATCTTTTTTTTTTTTTTTCCATTTTGGAAGGAATGTGCAAACAATAAAAAAACAAATTTCCCAACTTCTTTATCAACTTCTCGCACACCAGATTTTCACATATACGTGAAATTGCTAGTTACAGATCAGCGTAGACAATAATTTGATCACTATTTATCGCATTTATATATTTAATAATATTTGTAAAATCTATAAAATTTCAAAATTTTACAGAGAAAAGGACGTACTGATTACTTTCTTTTGTTATATAAAAACTATAGTAAAAAAAAGTCATTTTAATTATGTCATTGAAAAACACTATTTATTTTGCGCGAGAGATGCGGTGCATAATAATAAGATGAGAGGAGAAAATTGCGACAGAGTGTATTTTTTTAGCAAGAAAACATCGAAGAGTTTCTCTCAGTCCGAGGATCGACTGGTGAGCTCTCGCTTAAAGCCACCCTCTACCCCGTAAAGTACAGAGAGACAGGAGAGAAGACGAAGTGGGTGGTACGGTGTCGCAGAAACGGCCTGGAGATTAGCGTTAATTACAGAGTTGAGCCGTACTCGGGGTTGGGACGGGGCGCTAGGTATTTGTCACTCGGCACTGCTCTCCCGACTCCCGCTTCTCGTTCTGAATATTAATAACCCCACCGTCCTTTGCCACCCCCGCCCGCGTCCCTCGCCCCTTACTCCCGCGACACCCGATGAATTGCGCGGCAGACAACGCTACTCATTATGCTGACTGCTTGATTTCATCATCCTCGACGGCACGAAAAATTAATCGTCCCGCTATCGAGATCAAGAATAAAGAATCCCTCCGGGTATTAACGACGTTGTTTGTCTGACGCGAATCATAAACAATACACTTTGTTGTTGTATTAATAAATCCTACGTTTTTTTTTAAGTTGATTCACGGGATCTTCGAGGATTAGAGGCGCGTATCAGTGACGCGCAAATTCGGCAAATGAGTGAGGAATGCTTGAAATCTCGCATAATGAGTTGCTTTCTCTCTTTTTCCATTCATTCGTCAGATATTACTGAAATTATCAATCTCTTATATAATTGTCACAAAATCTAAAATGTTAAGAGTTGAACTAATAACAACACATCAGGGTTTTTTCTTTTTTCCCCCCAGAAATAACTTTTTTCCAAAAATTGAAGGGTCACATCGTCGACGGCGTTTTCTCCTCCCACGAGCGATGTCGATCAATCGATATCGCCCGACTCCGTCCTTTCTGCGGTCGGTCCCTCGATGGCGGTCCCATTCCCGCGCAAAACGCTCAGATATTCAAAGTCGGGGAATAGTTTATTCATGGCCGGCTCCGAGAACTTAGAAAGATATTGGAAGCGCCCCGGGAGAGAGAGAGTAAAAGACGAAGAGAAGAGAGGGTGAGAGATAAAGAGGCAAAGGGGGAGGAGGTTACCGGGAGTGAGAGGGCCCGAACGACGAAGGAAGAGGAGCGATATTGGTCGGACGGAAGTGTCCCCTCGGGAAAACGGGAGGAGCGTCGTCTCGTCCCCGATCCGATAAAGCGAAAAAGGAAACCCCCCTGCGGCATCGCCGCCACTCTCCTTACGGCCACGTGACCCACGTGACAGCGAGTCCGCCAATAAAATTCAAATAAACTCAGACCGTGCATACTAAATTATCACATCTTCCATTACCCGGCCGCGTGTCCATTCCAGAACGGCGTCTTCGGAGATCCCCGGGACACATTCGCACGCTCAACGCGCCAAATTCCGATATTTCTGACTTCTGAATGAGGAGAGGAAAGACAGCAAGAAGAAAACTGTGAATTCTACGGTTTTTTCCCTTCCCCCGGTTTTGCAACGCTCTTTTTTTCATTCCTCACATCGGAATAGCGCAATGCGGCGACCGCGCTCGCACAAATGCGGGTATTGGTTTAATTTCACTTCCGGTGGGATGAGATATATATATATATATACCGATCGCGTGCGGAGAAGATGATATTCCAGAGTAGTTCGCGACGATGTAACGCCTGCAATTTCTCAGGATCGATGTCACGTCGTTGTAATCGTGTAAGCCGTCTTGATGCTGGTGGTTTCCTTGCTGAAGCACAAAATGATACGCGCGCGTCGGAAAGAAAAAAAAAACACTCAGCTTCTCATGGAAA